TGGGGTGTTCAGCCTGGAGAAAAGGCTCCAGGGAGACCTTAGAGCACCTGTAGCCTGAAGGGGCTACAGGAAAGCTGGGGAGGGGCTTGGGACAAGAGCAGGGAATGAGAGGACAAGGGGGAATGGATTAAAGCTAGAAGTGGGGAGATTTAGGTGAGATGTTAGAAATAAATAATTTATTGTCAGGGTGGTGAGAGCCTGGCCCACGTTGCCCAGAGAAGCTGTGGCTGCCCCATCCCTGGCAGTGTTGAAGGGCAGGTTGGATGGGGCTTGGAGCAGCCTGGGCTGGTGGGAGGTGTCCCTGCCCATGGCAGGGGGGGGGACTGGGTGATCTTGAAGGCCCCTTCTAACCCAAACCATTCTATGATTCCATGACCCATCCCCAGCTCTGCTGCTCTCGCACTACTACTCTCCCCTGCTTTTGTCTACCCCAGCACAGCTTCTCTTTAATCTTATGCACTCATGTCCATTCACACTGTGTTTAGAACCTCCTCTGTACAGAGGCAAAGAGAAAATACAGAAAAACAAACACAAAAAAGCTCTGAGCTGCCACCAGCTCTGAAGCAGCGGCGAATGCCAGGCTGTTCTCACAGCAAAGTCACTACAGGATCCCTGTAAAACCACAGTGTGATCACTGGCCCTGGAAAGGACATCCCAGCTTACCATCATGGTCTTGGAGTTGCCCCCCAGGGAATCCTGGAGGAGCCGAGTGAGCTTGGAGTTGCGGTAGGGCACGTGGGTGCTCTTGCCATCCACCAGGGCAGAGATCACATTCCCCAGGGTAGAAAGAGACAGGTTGATCTTGGTAGCTTCCTTCAGTCGCTGCCCTGTGGCTCCAGTCTTTGCCTGTCTTTCAGAGCCCTGGAAAGGGATCAGGAAGCAGGAGTTTGAATAGATCCTCAAATACATCTCCTTCCTCCCAAGAGGATGAGCTGCACCTCAAGTCCTGCTGGCAGCCATGTCACCAACCACCTCATCTGTTATTAGAGAACCTGGCCAAGTGCTGCTGACATTGTTAGAGATAAGTCAGAGATCTTAACTGAAGCTCTCAGCACTAGCAAATTCTGGATTGCTCAGAGTCATGCAGCTGGGAAAATGGAGAGTTTGTCCTCATGAACAGAAATGTCATGAGAAGACAGCAGCTACAAGGTGCCCCAGACAGAGCTGCTGAACACCATCACCATCAGATCCTGAGAGAAATTACTGCAATTATTTTAAAGTTTCACAGCATACATCACATGAATAAAGTTAACATGCAGACACTGAATGCCTTTGGTCTCCCCTTTCCTGCAACTTCCCCAAGGAAAGATACTCCTGTGTAAAGTCTGGGTTTAAGATGCATTTTACCAGCACGATGACATTAGCTCAAAGTGACAGAATGAAGGAACTTTCAAGTGATGAATTGCATGGTCACAACACTCCAGAAAACACCAAACAACAAGCTCTTGCAAAGACCCAGTTCTGCTGTTCAGAGAGCTCTTTCCAATGTCATTTATCCATTCAGTGACTAATTTAAATGAAGAAGAGGGGCCCTTCGACTGGGACAGGCTCCAGATACCTCTGATAAAAGGCTCAGTGAACACTTCACACAAGTCCTGCAGCAAACAGAAGCCAGGCCTCAGGGGACTTGCCCTTTGCTGTGCCTTCAGCACACAGGTGAGCAGTGATGCCCCCATACCTCCCAGCAGACCCAGCTGGTCCTACTTACAGCAAGGTCCACGAGGTGCAGCTTGCCCATGCGCACGTGCATGTTCCCATCCACCCCCTTCTCACTGCACTCGATAGTGATGGTGAAGATGGCGTGTGAGCGGGAGCTGTGCTCGTTCATGTTGGTGGCACCCACAGAACCTTTCCACAGGGAGAAAGAGCAATGTCATCTTCAGAAGGAACCACATGCTCCTCTAACACTTTTCCCACTCTCAAAGGAGACTTATCCCAAACTCCTCACCTAACCCTCTTTTTCAGAAGATGGAAGAGGGATGCTCAGACTCAGCAGTAAACTGCATTCTTGGGCACTGCAGTTGCAGCACATGTCCAGTGTGGACTAGAAATGTTAATGTCAACCTCAGACTCCCACCCCAAGAGCAGCTGTAGCCCTCATCTGTTTCTTTAAAGCTACACAGACCAGTAGCCTAAGGCACAGCTGAACCCTGACAACAGCTGTATTTTGAGAAATAACAACACAGCAACCTCTGCCAAGAGCAACAGTAGTCAGAACTGTAAGTCACAAAAGGACCTGAGCTTTAAACTTCCAGAATGCATAAACCACCTCCCCCACACAGCACAGGGCTCGTTGTTGTTCATCCCAGTCAGAACTGCAGAGGGGAAAGGACCAAGACACACACCAGCAGTCCTGACAGGTCTGACTGCCCTCACTGCATCCTCCCCTTCACTGGTTCCCCCACTGGCCCTGGCAAACACGGGAAGCAGTTTTCTCCACAAGCCCCTACACAAGAAGTGTTTGGGAGAAGGCACCCTTTTTGTTCTGCTCAGCTGAACAAGCCTTCCAGCACCAGGACCAGGATCTCATGGCCAGACCTCCGCTCTGAGCTATAAACCCACCCAGAGCAAGGCTACGTACGGTTCTTGTGGCCCAGAGTCATGATTCTGTCCATGTCATCTGCATTGTTTACGACATAAGCTGAAAGGTCTTTGATATAAACTCCCACATCAGGTCTCTCTTTAACCTAAGAGAGAAACAGTTGAGCTGGAGCATCCTTAGGAGGCTCTTGATAGCAAATTCCAGGGGTACTGTAACAGTGATTCACTCCTTCCAGTTCTGGCTCCAACACTCCGGAGCAGAGGAGCTAAAGAACCAAAACTCATGCAGGACAATGTTCTACTGGATTCCCCTGGTGGCAAACACCAACTTCAAACCTCAGCCTCCAATTCCTGAGGGGCCTAGGGGAAGAACAGCAGGCTCAGAACTGACCCAGCTGGAACAGCCACCAACCAAGTGGAAAAAGTTCCAAGCTGTCAGCAGTCACCTCCAGCTACTGCATCTCAAGGAAACAGCACATGTGCTGAGAAGCCCAACCTCCCACTTCCCTCTAAGTGCTTCTCTGGTCTTTGAAATACAACACTGCTCAGCGATTCAAAATAAACCTCCCACTGAGAAGGGCAGTCTCACCTCTAATCTCTGGGTCTGGTCCTTTCCTAGCAGGTCCCGCACTTCCTCATTGTAAATTTCCAGGTAAGACACACGAACTAAAAACCTGGGGGCAAACAGTTGGGCAGCTCACTGAGCAAGAGATTTGTTGAAGTTCAACACACACAATCAGAGAGTGCAAAGAAAATGCAGTGACATAACAACACAATCCTGCTACCTCACCAAGAACTGCTCAAGCCAGAGTCCTTCAGCTAGAACCAGAGGGACTGTTTCAGACGAACACAGAGAAGAGAGAAGAGAAGCTGTTTACCTTGTATCCCCCTCTGCCTTGGCAATGTGACCAAATATATGGGCAAAGGAATTGGGAATGATGCCTCTAAGCTCAGGAATGGCTCGGACCCCTTCCATGGTGAAAGTTTTGCCTGTTCCAGTCTGCCCATATGCAAAAATAGTACCTAAAGGACAAACAGATACATGAACAAACTCTAAGAAGTTGCCAACTGCAGTTTTACTTCATCCCTTCTCAGCCTGATAGCACTAAATACCTCTGTTTTTATGGAGTTGTGTTTTCTACCCACTCCAAGAGCTGGACAACCACCATGAGCAGGGCTGAGCCACTGTTTTATCCAGCCTGCAAATCTCTAAGGAAAAGTCAGCTTGCTTTAACTGTGCAGAGTGATTAACTTTTGGAGCACTAGCACACTTAAGTCTCACACAAATAATTAAAGCAAGCTCAATCAATAACACGGTGAGTTAGAAGAAGCTCATTATATACCAACTGCAAAACCAACTATTGTGAGTGCTCCAAGCCACAGAACAGTGTGAGGCTTCTACTAGACAGGCCACAACAAAAGCCCAGCTCTGAACCTGCAGAAGCAGCTACAATTTGGACTAGATAATCTGACTGCACAGGAAGAACCCAGAAAATTACTGAGATCCGAGAACTCTGGTACTCCAGAAATATACTGGTTCTTAAGTTTAGCCTAGCACTGCTGGAAATTCCATTTTTCATTGTCAATCCACTTAACAGTTTGGAAAAGTTGAATTTTCATCAGCTGAACCCCTGGGTGTGTTAGCACAAGAGCTTATCAGGCATTTTACAAACCTTTAAAAGCTGTGGGAGCTGTTGCTGTTTGCAGCACAGGCAGGGAAAGCAGTCACTTGCTTCCCAGCACCTGCTTCCCTCTGCACCATACACTGACATGCATAACTGGCACACACACAAATACTCCTCACAAGCTGTAGGAAGCAGCAGATTATCCGTGGGGTGGGGCAGATGCCTCACTAGTCAGTTTAAAACAGCAGTTTGGAAGAAATGCAGTAGCTGCAGGCACAAGCCTGGGTGCATACCTAGGTACTGCAGGAGCACAGCAGCTGCCTGGTACTGACACTGCATCGTGAAGAGCCACCGAGAGGCCTGATGATGAGATGCAGTGCATATGTTTTGGAAACAGAATCAAAACATACACATCCAGAATAAAAACATACACATAACTGACCTGATTTTTGTTCACCACTGATCTCCCACTCTTAACAACCATAGTGGGTACAACCACTGAGAACAGCAAGCATCTTCAGGCTACTTCTAAGTTGGAGGCTAAGCCAGGAACAACATAGGGCTATAGCCCTCAGAAGGGGAAATGCCCTTAAATAAGATCAGCAG